TTGAATACGGTCTCAACAGGGCCGGTTTAAATTCTTATTTTAACACCCATATGCTTGGTTTGATCCCTATTTCCTGATGCTAAAACTATGTTTTGACACAGTCCAAAAATACACGTTACATATAACACACCCTGTCGCAAACCGACATGTTTCCTACACATTTCAGGAAATTTTTATTCGAAAAGGTATTTTAGGACCATATTTATTTGAAGGACACGACGCACTTTAAATTGCTGAATAGAAAATGAAACATTACCTTAGTCAACATTATCACAACAAAGCTATTTTCCGCAACTTTATTTTCGTCCAATGTTGTGTCATCTTTAAGCACTTTTCCTTGATGAATTAGCATCTGTTGTGGAGCAGGGTATACATCTGAACCCTTGCAAGCTTCTATATGTTTCTTCACATCAGCAACCTAGAAATAATAGCAGTTAGTCACGATTATGGTATCTTCGATCAAGTCGTCACTCGTCAGCGATTACTGCGTAGCAGGACGCAAAGTAAAATTACAATTTACAACTCCACCAAACTACATTTCTTACATTTAGAAAGCTGAATGCTATCCCAAAGTCTCCCATATCGCAGAATTCATAAATTTCAAAAAACAACGATGATAAAATTGAAAGAAACAAAAAAAAAAGAAAAAAAAGGAAAGATTAATTTAATAAGGGAAACGTAAATTCAAAGATTTCAATTGCACGATAACCTAATCAAAAATCTAATTCCAATCAACTCACACAAGCAAATACAGAAAAATAATCTCTTAATGCTTACACACTAATCCCTTACCAAATAACGAAACAAACGGATATTAGTAACAAAAACCCTAGAAAGCACTCCGATTACGATCATAATTGCGCATTAGTTCATGCAAATTAAGAAATTAACACGAAATTTAAAATTAAAATTGAAAAACTAAATTGAATCAGAAAGTTTGAGGCTAACCGTGTCCTCAGGCTTCACTTCGACGTCGAAGTGGGAGCCCTTGAGAGTCTTGACGAAGATCTTCATCTTCTTCTCGACGGAATCGCCGCCGTCCTTACAGTATCGGAGCCTGTGATCTGTAAAGGGTTTCAGAGAAAGAAGCCGAATGCGCAAGTAAAGTGAAGCAGAAGCAGGAAAAAGTTTGAGAAAATTCCCAAATTTCTGGTTTATATACTGGGGCCCCGGGTGCTAATGCAAACGCGCTGAAGGGAGAATGTGAAACGCGTGCAGCCGAATGTACGTTGGATTGCACGTGAGCGGTTGAGATGGGCGCGTAGAGTTAGAAATCGTAAAGAGGGCACATTGTCTGTTTTGAGTGACTGGTGAAAATAGCCAGCTAGATTTTTGTGTTTGATTGTGTTAATCTTTATGGCTGTTGCAAATGGAACTTCAGATCACCGTTTGATCGTCCTATATCATATCACCGCCGATGTGGCCCTCGCAGGGTATTTTAATCATTTGCCAACTCATTTAATGTTTTAGCAACCTTAATTTGATGTTTTAGTACCTTAATCACGTTCCTCCTTGAACAAATTTAGTAATCACATGTTTTAAAAGGCCTCATGACGAGTCCGCTATTGTATTATTTTGAGTTGTCTATGTACTTTTTTTCCCATTATCAGTTATATTTATTGCAACGTTACATATATCGTCATTTACAATATTTAATAAAGTCGTGAAATATGGAGAAAATAATGAGAGAAAACAAGACGAGAGGAATAAGAGGAGAGTGTGTTGCCTATATATCAGTGATTTTAGTGCAGTCATTGTCATGTACGCCCAAATACAAGGAGTTTAAACTGCATTGACAAAATGTCGCATATAACGAATTTTCCCAAATGTAGCGGAGGCTGAAGGAATGCATACACCCCTTCTACTTGTTTTCCACTTTTTAATCGAAATCTTATTTTTTTTGTTCATTAGATTACTTATTTTTTATGTTTAGTATTTGAATGTTATTGTCACTGAATAAAGTTGAAGTTCTACCATAAACCAATTACTCATAAGGAAAATAGCAAAACTTGCTTAAAAGTCCATGCAAGGTTTTTTTTTACACATAAAAAATGCTTGGGTCCTGCGCTTGAGTGCACCTTCACCATTTCAATTAAACAATTTACAATACACTAGGCTTCATGCACGTGCTCACGCGGGTGCATAAGGCATTTTTTGAATCACCGTGTGCTACGCACGACTTACATGTTTTAAATGTATTTAGCGTAAATTGACAAAAGGAAAGTCAAATATTTGAATAAATAATTTTAGATTATGCTAAAAGAAAGCCCTCATAAACCAATTAAAGCAACTGAATTCACATAATAAAATCGGTTTCTATAGTATTTGCATTAAGAATAGAGAAAATAATATTTAATTAATAAATAATTGATTGAATAACATTATTGTTAGCCCATTGCGAGACTAAGCCCACCCTTATCTCCTTTAGTGTAGATAATATCGTTTATTTAAAAAAAAATCATTTGACAACTAATTTAATTACATTATTATCCGCGTTGCAAAATACTTTTTTTATAACCAACGTTACACGACTCTTAAAGGTTTTGAACGGTGTTGAAAAATAGATAAAATAATATATAATAAACAACTGATTGAATCACATTATTGCGAGCCCATTATAAGGCTAAATCCACTCCTCCCCCTTATGTAGATAATATCATTTGTTAAAAAAAATCATTTGACAACTAATTTATTTACATTATTATATGCAAAGACCTTTTTTTATAACCGGCATTACACGCCTCTTAAAATGTTTTGAACATGTTTAAAAATAGAGAAATTGAATCAGATTATTATTATCCTATTGTGAGACACTATTTTTTTTTAAGCACAAAAAAAAATTAATTATTAAAAAATACTGTTAAAATAATGAAAATGCCCTACCCTATTTGATGCATTATTTTGATATGTCTTTGAAGTTTTTTGTCTTGGGGGAATTTTTGTCCAAATCATTTTGTTGAAGAATTGTGACATCAAAATTACTATTCATCTTTTCCATTGGCTTTATACATAGATGTCACAATCATTATCATACATTTTTTAATACGCGGTGTAAAAAAATTTAATGCATAAGTAAGTATAAGTAAATTAAGATTATTCGGTCTTTTTGGGTAAGAAAGATTATTTAATCACTCATATATATCAAATAATGGACAGCACAACATAAAAAATATTCATTGCTGACAAAATTGTCGATTGTTTTTGTTTAAATGAATAACTAAATGATTTTCTATTCTTTGATACTTTTTTTTTTTTTTGGACAGAAAGGAACATTCATTAAGTAAAAAAGGTTACAGGCCAATCCAAACGGAAAGGAAAAATAACCCAAAGCAAATTGGGGGCAATCATATACATAAAGCCTAGCCCAAAAAGCAACTAACGAAAATTGAAACCCTAATCCCTAACTTCCAAAAGCAGACCGCCACTGCTGCCGGTATTACGAACGTCTTGCCAGTAGCCACCAGAGCAGCAATACTAGAGAAAGCAACCGAGAGGTCAATTCGACCAAGACATCGTAACAGAAAACTTACAAACCCGAAACTAACAGAACACCACAACCAAAAGTCGACACTGGAGACGCCAAACTGAGAAATGGTTACCAGATCCGATACACCATCACACATCCCTGCAAATATAAACAAACATGGGAACACATGGATAGAAGGTGAGGCTAAGGGGGTATGTAAAATACCCTTACTTTGGTCGGAACCGCAGAACACTTGGCCTCGAGGGGATGCCGGCATGCCGGTTGGGGGAGGGAAGTGAGCAAGGGAGATGGATCTGGCAACCATTTTCGATGCGGCGGACACAGGTCTGAGCCCAAAAAGGGGTGCGGGTGGAGTATAAGGAGATGAGGTAGAGAGGAAAGGTGGGGGGAGAACAAGTTCAGGGTTTGGAAAGGGACGGCCGAAAAAGAGGGAGGGTGTAGAAAGAACGAAGGACACCCAAGAAAGGGCATGAAGCCTGGAACTGAGACAAGCTTAGAGAAGGAAGGAGACCAAGCTCCCAAAACCGAAACAGATCTGAAAAGAAAACTGAAAAAAGCGAAGAGAGAATGATGGGAGGGGTTGCCACCGGCACCCAAGCCAAAGGCTAGGGCCGGCGGCTAGGGTTCGCCTTAGATTGCAATTTCAGAGCTCAGAGAGAGTTTGGGCTGTTGCTTTTAACCCAAATTAAATTGGATGGGTTTCTTTGATACTTAACTCTTGAAAAATAATCTACTCTGAATATGCCTCACACAATTTTCATGACATCGTTCAAAAAAGAAGTTGAGAATCATGTTACATCATCTCATTGAATCTTACGAAAAACTTCTGTTATTATTCACTTTAACGAAAAACCATATTTTTATAATAAAAAGTCAATCATGATATTATTTATTTTACCATTTATTTTGTCTTTATCGTTAAAACTCAATAGTTTTGAAACTATTTTCATTAGTTTTCCTTTGAATCTTCCATACCGACCTGCCTTGGAAAAATATATTCATCGCAATTTAACCGTAGTATTGACTTAAATATATAACAAGTTCTTATCTTTGAAATCTATTTAAAGTGAGATTTATATTATAATTTTGTAAGTTTAGAATTCGTTATTCACGAAATAAATACAATTTAGCTGTAGTACTAAGCAGCTCAAAGTGAAAAGTTATAGCATCCCAAATAAATTATCATGCAGACGATTTGCATGATTTACAAATGTAGTCAAAAAAATTAATCTGCGTAATATTACTCTTAAAGAATAATAAAAGAAAAGTCATACTTGTTAACCATTTAGGATCAATAACTAGCTTTTTAAATCTTTCACACAAAACTTGTTCTCTCTTTACCGTCCTTCTCAAATTCCCGTTTCAGGTTCGAATCTCCGCTTTAATAATTTTGATTATGAAAATTTATAATACTTCTTTTTATTTATAAATAAGATATTTTAAAGTCGATTTTCGTTAAAAAAAAATTTAAATTACATTATTACGAATTCATTACGAAATTAAGCTATCTTCATATCCTTAAATTAACTAATATAATATCGTTTGTTTCAAACAAACAGAGTATCGATCTAGAAATCTTGCTTAATGCTTTTTACAAGAGCAGATTCCCTCGAAAGGGGGTTCGAAATTAAAATGACCGCCATTAAATAAGCGAACCAATCATTTTGCTTTTTTATTTTTCTTTTGGCGCCAACGAATTTCTTTGCTACTTTTCTGATCTTCCTTCCATATCAGTCTAAAGTCCTACTGTAACGGTCCTACATATATTCTTTTCACGATTCCTTTTCAAAAAAATTAGAAAAAAGGGACAAATTTACAGATCGGTCCGGCATCATATTCCGTCCAACCGACGCCGTTTCTTTTCGCTCTACTGCGCCGGCAGTGTTTCGAAACGCCACGAAAACTCGCCGTAATCAGCCGAGTCAAAATACACATCGTCGTTTCCGAACAGCCCGTCAAGCGTACTCGGAGGGGGATCGTCGAACTGCCATAACTCGTCGGCTACGGACGAGTCGGACGGAACTCGGACCAACTCGCTCTCCCCGCCTTTCGCCGCCTCCTCTTTGAAGTTCTCCGGCGGGGGCAGGCCCAGCTCGTCGTCCGAAGCTTCTAGAAGGTAGCCAAGGTCGGGTTTGGACTCGCCAGATTCCGACGTCAGATCAACCACCGGCACCGGAGCCAGCAGAGTCTCCGATGCCGGACGCGGCGACGACTGGCAAGAAGTGGTTGCGGCTGCTATCTCTTCCTCGAAGCTTTTCATGACCGAGTCGAGGTCCTGAGTCGTGGGATCGGCGTCCGAGTCGTCAAGGAAACCCAGTAGGTCTTCCCTGAGTCGCTTCACCTCGGCCGAGTCGTGAACCGAGTCGTCCGAGTTGTCTCGGACCCGCTTCTTGTTAGTTGGGGTGTGGTCCTCCATGTATGAAATAATGCCTACCGCAAGAGAGAGAATTTTTCAGATGAAGCGTGTGGATGCGGTGGTGGTGGCAAGCGGAGGAGAGAAGGATTATATAGGGAGACAATGTAGAGAGAGAAAGTAGAGAGAGAAAGGGAGTGTGTGTGTGGTGATGTGACGCAGGAGCGCGTGGGTTCGAATACTTAGGCCATCACGGACGCCTTGCCTCTGTTTTTTACATTTTTATTTGTTTGCTTTTCTTTTTTGGTTGGTTCCTTTTTTCCGGATTTGTTTTCTATTAACTCAATTGAATTCCGGGTTGGAGTCCGGTCAGTTGTGGGTCCCGCTAAACATACGGCTCGACTCAGCTGACTGAAAGATTTTGGTTTGATTGATTTTTTTTTGGTGAAATTTGTGCTTTTGATTGGTTCCGCTGTGGTTGTTTTATTGTTTAGCATGATGTTTACGCAATTGGATCCCATCCAGATCCAGTGGTATGTTCTCTACATTTTAATCATTTATCGTGTATTATACGGTTATAAATTATTTAATTTTTTATTTAAAATTAAATACAAATAGTATCTCATGACATCAAATTTTATATGGAGCTATGTAATATGAGAAACGAGTTGAGGTCTGATGCAGAAATTGAGTTGTAGATGCATATATGCTGCTCGAACACAATGAATACCCACAAACACAAAATTTAAGGATTTCACTAAAGAAAAGTAAATAACTTGTAAAAAGATCTCAAAATGATAGAAATAACCTTGAACACAAGTCATGTGCGACTTATTTTGGATGAAAAACCTAACAGAGTTAAAGTGAGATGATAAATTGATGACATTGGCTCGACTCAGCTGACTGAAAGATCGTGGTTTGATTGATGTTTTTTTTGGTGAAATTTGTGCTTTTGATTGGTTCCGCTGTGGTTGTTTTATTGTTTAGCAGGATTTTTTATGCAATTGGATCCCATCCAAATCAACTTTGTGCTAAGATTTTTATATTTTAATCATTCATCGTGTATTATACAGTCATAAATTATTTGACTTTTTTTATTTAAAATCAAACACAAATGGTATTTAACAAAAATTGATCACACAATTTACGATGAACAGCTAGAATGTGAGAATCTCTAGGATCCCCACAAAGTGGATCCAGAGATAATCCTCTACCAATTTCTACCACACGGGTGGCATTGTTCCATGTTAATTATAATATGGGAACTTGTACCCATTTTTCAATTTGTTATATAAACTAAAATTTTAAGCAATTTGTCATCTCACCCTAACTCCATTAAGTCTTCTATCCAAAATAAGTCATGTATCTCCCATATGACTTGTGTTAGGGTTATTTTTGTCATTTTAACACCTCACTTCCTTCTATTAAGTTGTATTCGATCAAAACACTTCTAGGGTGTTTAGTTTAGTATGTCATGACATCAAATTTTATATAGGGTTATGTAATATGAGAAACGAGTTGAGGTTTGGTGGCAGAAATAGAGTTGTAGATGCGTATATGCTGCTCGAACACAACAATCTGCATGAATACTCACAAATACAAAATTTTAGGATTTTACTAAAGAAAAGTAAATAACTTGTAAAAAGATCTTAAATGACATAAATAACCTTGAACACAAGTCATATGCGACTTATTTTGAATGAAAAACTTAACAAAGTTAAGATGAAATGACAAATTGATAATTTCAAAAAATTAATACGACAAACTACTAAAAATTTTAATTTTATATAAGAAATTAAAAAAGTTGTACAAGTTCATATTACAATACAAAAAAATTCCCTTATAATATTATGTTATGTATATAGGCTTTTTCACACGGACAATACTTGAGTCCTCAATTGAGAGTATCCAATTTACTGACTCTTTTAGTTGGCCAATAATATCATGACACAAGTTATTTTAAAACAAATTAAATATACCTACTATTCGTGTAACAAAACGTCATGAAGCACCCACACTCTGCCGTGACTGTTCACATTCGAACCCAACGTCGCCGTTGAAGAGCATGAGAGAGTAGGGTTGGCTGGGGTCGACGAAAAAGAGAAATATTGGTAATGGCTCGCCGGAGAAGAGAGGGATTGAAGAGGAAACACGTTGGTAATGAGGGAGGCGATTGGGTGGAGAGGGGACGGGGGTGGGTCTGACGGCAGCCATGGTAGATTTGCCATGGCAGCACCAAATCAAGGGAGGAAGGAAGGAGATGGATCAGTGTGTTTAAAGGATGGTGGATTGGGCGACTCTGGTTGGTGGTGGTGGGAAAAGATGGTGGATGGACGGCTGGGTTGTGTTTCGCTGAGGAAGAAAACATGTGTTTGGATAGCAGAATAACACATGTTTGGCTAGAAGAAAAAATGCTGATTGGTTATATGTTAAATGGACATGTGTCATTATTTAATTGTTCCACGTGTTAAAATCAGTATATTGGGTACTCTCCATTGAGTACCCAAGTATTCTCCTTTTCACACATGCTTTTATTGTTAATTTATGATTATTTTATTTGAGGTGGCCTTGTAATATTTACGTAATCTTTCTCTCTTTCAAGTTTTTACCCCATTGTCAACCAGAAAAAAAAAAAAAAAAAAAACCTCAAGATGTTAATTAATCATATTGAAAGTTTTTTGAGTGCTCAAACGGAGCCTTATATTATTAGTGATATTATTTTACTTTTAGTTGTGTAGAAGCACTGCCTGATGTTATTAAAACAAAAAAACAAGGAAAAAGATATTCTTCGATTCCCTTTCACCTAATTATTTTCAGTAAACAATTTGGATCCTTGAAATTTGATCAAATAGCTATAAACACATGTTAACTTTAAAAATTATAATAACTTTAACCGTTGAATCAAATTTAAATGGTCCAGATTATTTGATAAGAATGATTAGGTGGAACAGAGATCCGGAAATTGATCATTTTCCTTAAAACAAAACGTTATAATAGTAGTATGAAGATGCCATAGGAGTTGCTTTCGATTGTTTGACGATAGGCGAGAGAATGAGAATGAAATTATGGGCAAGTGCGAGGGTGCTTTTTGGAAAAGTAGGTTGGGTGTTATAGAAATGAATCGATGGGATTGGATTGGGTCACCGGGGGTGGGATAAGATGAGGCTGACCTTTTGTAGAAAGGGGCTTTGGTGGTGTGCGAGGGAAAGTTGTAGGTAATTCATAATTTGATTAGGAATTTCTGGAAGAGCTTTATTGGGTGGTTGATTGTGTGAGTGATGATGTTGACGGGCACCAAAACAAATGAATTAACGTAAGGGCCGTGGTCTGGTAGTAGACTAGTAAACGCCAAGGAACGCTATCTATATATTAGTTGCTTCCGGCACGTCGACGCGTATAACAATTGACTCTTTTTTGTTTAATTTTGTTTAATTTTAAAAATTCGTCTTTTTATTAAAATATACTTTGAAAATAATGAACTATTTTTGTATTTTTTTTTTTAAAAATTCATGGGGAAGGCTATTTGGAAAATTATAAGTAGATACACTAAAAAACGTTAAATAGATACATCATATATTAGTGATTCTGGAAAATTATAAGGTTCAAATAAACGTTAAAATTAGGTTTTGCTTATGAGTAGATGTTAAACATTGAGTCGTCTAAACAACGCTTTGATAATGAATAGAAAATTCTTGATTTAGACATCACTAATTCAAATCAAATGCTTAACATTTAAAATTCTGATTCAGCCACCAAAACCACGCATAATTACTATCTACATAAAAGAAGTTTTACAAACTTTCTATATATTAGGATTCATTTCTAAAAAAAATACATCTCCTACTCATACCCATCATTTTGAAAAGAAAAAAAAATTGTCATTCATTTAAAAAAAAAAAAAAAGGTATCTTATATTACAAGGCTAACATATATGCCCACTCATAATAGACAACGAATGTGAATAAGTTATGTGTTACACTAAAAAAACAATAAGTCATGGATCATGCCGACGAAATAATTGAACAAAATATTGTTTCGGATAAGAATATATTTCAATATCTGTAAATTTCTTGCCAAATAAATAAGAATCCATCTTCTCGGACAAAATAGTCAACAAATAACACCACTCATTAATTAATTAAGGTGGCATAATTCAACTTGGAGCGTCTTAGAAATTTCTTGAATCAAACAACCACGTCGACGAAGACAACCTTAGAGACTAGGAGAAAATTGAGATTTCATTGTAAAGTTAGCGGGTAACAGAAAGAGTAGCTCTACTTACTTATAAGCAACGTGATATCACTCTTTTTATTAATGTGCGATTTATTTTTAACACACTAATAACAGAATACTGTAAATATCTGTGAATCCGTATTCGTTAAACTTCACACGTAAAATAACCTGATTCTAATACACGATAAAATGGCGAAAAAAATGAGTACGGCTTTCATTGAAGAGATCGGCGAAATTACATAGTACGAGCAGCCCGCCGTTGGTTGCGTGACACGTCCGAGTGTAAACGTACGTGCGTAGGCCAGCGGCCAGCCCTGTTTATTTAGCCGCTCCTCGTTTAATACATTTTATCTTTGTTTCTTGCTTTTTGTTTGCCAACTTGGCGTTGGGACGTCTGCCTCCACGTTTCCACGTGACCGCACTTTCCATTATTATTATTATTTTTTTAATATTATATAATTACTGTTTTATCCTTCTTATGTAAATATTACGTATAAAAATGAGGATAAAATTTTAAAAAAAAAGTATAAAAAAAGAGGGTAGAATAGAAAAAATAAGAATATGATTATCATTTTGTTAAAAGGTACAAAATTACTATTTTACCCTTCTCATATCAATATTATGTATTAAAAAATGAGAGTCAAATTGGAAAAAACGGGGGAAAAAAATTTGACAAGGGCTATTCTCTTAATAATAAATAGTATAGATTTTTCTTTTAAGTACATCGATATTTTTATATTAAGGGAATAGTGAGTTTGGCTAAGTCACATAATAGGAAGCCTAATTTGGTATCAAATTCTTCATCTATTACATTCGAACATAAAACCTCTTACTTTCAAAAATTTAAAAGAAGAAGAATTCCACCAGACCGTAGTACTGAATGACTATTTTTGTTATTTACTTGCTTTTGGCGCCAGATTTTTATTATTTGCTTTTATATTCTTAATAATTGTAGAAGATGGGAGATCCAGAAGGGAGTGATGCGTCGGCCGCAGAGGGGTCTTAAGAGCAATCACATGATGCAGG